ACACATACACACAATGTCAGGCCATCTGTCTGGCCCAGATAGCCAATTATTTTGTTTGGTGGGATGAATCTTCCAGATTATTTATAACTATGCTTTCTAAGTCTCTCTCCCTGTCCCTGGCAAAGAAGTCCCTGGCAAACTCATTGTCCACATAACCTCTCTTTTATGCAATATCTATGCACTTACTTCCCAGTCAGAACAAAGACAGCACTTATCATTTTTCATGACCCAGACAGCACTATTTATAGGCTATCATGGGATAAAACTATGTTAATTACGTATGATCACTACACACACACACAGCATTGCCCACACTGCCTATGCCCGTTTGTATCCAGTATTTATATCATTTTGATCACTAGAATTAGAAAACTTGTGGTGTTATATGAGTAGGTTACATTAATTAAATATTATAATTGCAATCACTGCCTATCCATGCCTTGGGATTCCCTGGAGCAAGGAACTATTTCCAAAGATTCAGTACTGAGCAAAATTAGGTAAACATTAAGCAGCTTTATAAGAGTAAATGGGAGAAGGATATGAACAGGTGAATTAAAAGAACAGAACATCACTAAAGAGAAAAAAAAATGGAGGATTTTCTTGGACTGTCTTCCATGAGTAAGTTCAAGATTCAGAATTCAAAAATCACTCTCACATGCACTCAGCAAGTATTGTTGACTACGTGGCAAACTCTGGTGATACAGCGTGATATGAAAGGAATATAATCTCTGCCCATTGTGACTATATTCTTCAGAAAGGACAGAGGGACATGGGTGAAGAGAAGGGTATGAGAAATCGAGATTTCTTTTGTGCAGTATGGGAACTAGCCCAGAAACATTAGTATATCAGGCAAGAAAATTAGGGGATAGCTGCTTTAAGTCTAGCTTGTTGAGAAGATCTCACCATAAGCTGTTTGAATTTCATGCATGGTAATTAATGCAGGCCTTTCCAGTTTAACTCCAGAGAACTGGTTCAGATCACAGACTAAGTAGCTATATAACCTAGAGTCAGATTCTGAGTACCAAGTGCTTGCCTTATAACCTTAGAAATGTTCTCAAATTGTCTGTGCTTCTGTTTTCTCATCTATGAAGTGTGGAAAATAACTGTAATGACCTAATACCAATATTGTGTGAATTAATTGATCCTTTGGTTGAGTTACACATAAAACATTTATAAGAGTACATATCTTATAACAAGTACAAAAGTTTAGAATTACCTACTTCTACAATTACTGTACAGAGTTCTGAATTAGGTGTGCAGCTGCAGCAATGCAACCAGCATGGGAGTTGACTAGGATTGAAATCTGACCTAGCAAGCCCAAAGAGCAACCATGAAATGGTAACACGGGGAATGTCTTTCTGAATATTAATAGTTTTGCCAATTAATTGGAAGCAGAGGGAGAATTGTTTAGAAAAAGAAAAGTATCCTTATTCTAGGTTTACACATGTGGTCTACTGCTGAATTCACTCTGAGCGTAACTCATGTTCAGATATCCTGAAAACTGAGCTAGTAACAGGCTCCCTCCCAAGAGCCTGCCAATATGCTCATCCCGCAGTCTCTAGTTTTTCTTAGCACTGGAGATACTGTTGGTCCTGCTCCGGGAGCAGCTGCTCCTAGGGTTAGCACAGGCACCACAGAGCCAGCTGACTTTAACTGCGGAGCTGCAGCAGCAGCAGCGACAGAGCCTGGGAGTCTGTGAGAGAGCAGCGCCGCAGCTCTAGGGCACTGCTGTGAATCTCAGAGGATCTGAGTTGAAATAACCACCCACTCAAGAATCCATCCTGGCCCACAATTCCTTTTTTACTCTTCCCTCTTCTTGGGCTGACCCTCTGGGGACACAAGAGGGTGACCAGGTAGAATTTTCACTCCATGTGAAGGTGAAAGTGCTCTCTGGGGATTCTGGCCCAGGTGACAATCCATCCACCTTCTCCTTTTCACAATGTGTTCTGGTTACTGTTGACTCTCTTCACTTGGGTCATATTTCAGATAACCCAACTCAGAGTTAATCATCCGTCACCCTCCAATTCTAGATATCTTTGAAAGAGATGCAGCCATAACACCAAATATGTTTTCTTCTTGCACACTTCTCAGAGTCTCACCCTCTTCCTGCCCCTGAGAGATGATCCAGACCTCTGGCCCTTGGCCCACAGCTGGGTGATTGATCGATTAGAGGTGGGGAGACAGGCAGAAGTAACTCTGAGCCTACCCAAGGCATCCATAAGCCAGGTCTTGTGTCTCCAGGGAGCTCCCCACAGCACTCCAGACCTCAGCTGCAAGCAGTGAATTCCCCTGCCTAATCAACCTTCCACGCAGGCTTGCCTCAGTGCATACAGCAGAGCTCATGGAGGTGGAACTGTGGGTGGGACACTCCTGAATGCTTGTGTTAAGAGGTAAGTGAAGTGCAACCACAGAGTCTGTGTCACTATTTCCAGATAGCCAGCAATCTAGCTGTCTTTACTCAGCAGGTCAAACTGTATAGAAAACTACTTAATTGGATAGTGCCCAATATACATGCCCCCTTCATTCTTAACTTATATCTTTAAATTTTGGCCAGAACCGAATCATGTCCAGATATCAAAATTTACACTTTTCCATTCCCCTTGTATGTACAAGCAGCCAGTGAGATTCAGGAAATTGTTGGGACTTTAGGAAAGCTCAGGTAAGAGACTTTACTGGGGTCAGGGCTTTTTACCCATCCTTTCTCCTTCTTCCTACTTGAAGCACAGCCTTGCAGATCAGAGCTCCATCATGCACCCTGATATCACCAACTGCCTCCCAGGAAACAACTGCTAACAATGAATTGACAAGACAGAGGGGTATCCATCTCTGAAGACTCCAGGGAACCACCATACCAGCCATGGACTATGAGTGGAAATAGCCTGCTTTCCTTTTTAAATTGCTATGATTCTGTGTTCCTCTGATAGCATCAGAACATAATTTCTAACACACCTGCACACATGCCAAATACAAGGTAAGATGCAACTAAAAACAAATGTTAGACTGGATAAAGAAAATGAGGCAGATATACACCGTGGAATACTATGCAGCCATAAAAAAGGATGAGTTCATGTCCTCTGGGGGTACATGGATGAATCTGGAAACCATTATTCTCAGCAAACTAACACAGGAACAGAAAACCAAACACTGAAGACGCCAGGTGTCTCATAAGTGGGAGTTGAAAAATGAAAACATGTGGACACATGTAGGGGAACATCACACACCGGGGCCTGTCAGTGGGTAGGGGGCTAGGGGAGGGATAGCGTTAGCAGAAATACCTAATGTACTTGACAGGTTGATGGGTGCAGCAAACCACCATGGCACATGTATACCTATGTAACAAACCTGCACTTTCTGCACATGTATCCCAGAACTTAAAGTATAATTTAAAAAAAAAAAAAAAAAAAAAAAAAAAACAGTTAGATGGGAAATTATTCTGTGTATGGAGGGTTAGATAGTGAAAGGAACTCACCATGAAAGGAACACATGGAGGCCCAGATAGCAGGCCCACTGGGGAAGGGAGTGGCCAGTGGGTTGCTCTTACTTAAGGCAGAGGACCCTGAAAGCAGACTCAGTGTCCACCTCTCTGTAGGCCAGTCTTCAACTGCCCCAGGCAACTTTAGGTCCCCTGCTTGGCATTCCGTTTTGTACTGTTTGGTTTTTTCGTTTGTTTTGCTCCCCACATGTAAACACTAAGGACAGGGGAAAACTTCTTAACCAACTCAAGGAACCCTGAAGCTATAAAAGCAAAGAAAGTCATATTTGAGTATATAAAAACTAAAAACATTTCCATAGCAAAAGCTATTATAAACAGATTCAATTAAATCTGATGATTAACTATTTTAATAAAGACAGATCAAGGTTAATATCTTTGATGTATCAAGAGCTCTTGGAAATTGAAAAGAAAATTTAAAATCATATAAATTTTGTAGAAATGGCCAATGTACATATTTTTAGAAGCTCAAAATTACTACTGGTCAGGGACTTGAAAATTCAGTTAATAATGAGACTGGCAAAAATAATGAATAGCATCAAGTCAAATAAACTGACTCAGTGCAGAGGGTGATTTAAAACGCATAGAGTACAGAATCTCAGACTGGTTAAACACTTGGGTGTTTGTCTTAGCAGCAGTAAGGATGAGGAGGGAGATGAACATCTTAATAAGACACTCCGTCTCTGTCAGATTCTCTCTGCACTGAATCCATCATCTTCATGTAGACACCTGTCAGCCTGAACCTAAGAAGCACTAGTCCTTATTTCCCCCTGCTGTGTCGCTTTTCCCTTAACACTGAGAGGAAGAGACACTAGGTGTCTGAGGGGCAAGTCAAAAGGCGGATCTTAACCAGAGTCACCCTCCCAGGACGGAAGTTCACTGACCATGGGCTGTACTTTGCAGGAGGAGAGGTCTCAACTTTTGTTTCAAGCATTTTATTCAACTATTGATCCTAACAGCAGGGAAGTTTTGCTTCACAGAGGTGTGTTGTTCTCACTAGAGAAGAACAAGTCAACGGAGGTTCCCAACCTTCCCAATGTCTGGAATAGACAGAGAATTAGAACATGTGTCTGGCTTAGTGGAGAGAAAGGCAAAGCTGCCATAACCAGATGTGACCCTCTAGGATCTCCATGTATCCTCCAGTTGGGGTAATCAGTTCCTCGGAGCAGCCTTTCATGTATCAGCTACTCATGTCCTGTCCTTGCCTCATGAAGAGAATTTCTCTGAGGCTCTGACCTTTGGAAGACATTAGAAATCTCAGAAGGGAAGAGAATGACCAAGATATTTAGTGAGTCAGAAATCAGAGCTTTATTATAATACGAAGCAAAAGAGGAAGAGAAGGCTTCCATTTGGGGTGCTCCATCAAGCACGAAGTTCTTCCAGGGAAGCCCCATAAGTCTCTGCGGTCTCTGACGACTCATGAAAGGAATGAGAGGAAGTGGAAAGAGTATCCATCAGGCTGCAGCATGTCCTTGATCATTCAGTCCCAAGAGCTCCTCTGAAGACAAGGTCAGCAGCAGCCCCCAGAGCTGTGGCAGCAGCCAGAGCCCCCAGAAGGTTCACTCTCACAGCAATCTGGGCTCTGGTGCCGGCGCCGGTGGAAGAGATGGGGCCTGTGGTGGCTCAGGCAGCAGCCACCACTCCCAGAGCTGCAGCAACCCCCAGAGCTGGGACCACAGCAACCCCCAGAGCTGGGACCACAGCAGGAAGAGACTGCAGGGGAACATGGAGCTGGGCACTGGGGTGGGCATTTGGGGGGACACTTAGGTGGACATTTTGGGGTACACTTGGGAGGACACTTGGGAGGGGGCTGGCACTGCTGCTGGTTTTGCTGGCAAGACATGCTGGCAGGAGTGTAGTCAACCTAAAGGATAATAATAAAACTCTTTAAATATTTCAAACCAAAGGTCATAAGTATACCTCTTCTAAAATCAATGCATGGGTGAAGAAAAACGATATTTAGATCATACAATCCTATCAGTAACCTGAAAGAAACAACTTGAATCTTTCCTCCAGATAAAGTACATAGATTTAAAAAATCAACAGAATGAGCTTCTTATTCTTCCTTTCATGGGGAAACTGGGATTGCTCTGTCCTCACAAGCCTGAATAGAGTATTCACAGCTCCATGAAGTACCTGTTCTCTTAATACAAGCCCCAGCACCCAGGTGGGTGTTGCAGACACACCAGGGATCCTCTGGAAAATGTTTAGCCATGAAAACTCCAGGTAAAAGGGCCTGGCCTGAAGCAGTTGACAATTTCCATAGTGCAGTCTGCCCAAGATGGTGAACATGAAGTCATTGAAGACAGAGTTGGGAAAGATGGGCACAGTTAGCTATTCCCTTCGATATGAGCTCCAGCAGGTCCCAGAGCTTCTAGAGATTTGAGGCAAACTGAGTCCTATTCCTGCTCAGTATGGCAGAACACAAGCACACAACTCTGTTTCTCCAGCCTACCTCCATCCTCCCCATCCCTCTGCGCCGCTCATACCTCTCTGGTATCCCAGGTTGCCACTCACCCTGGTCACACGCAGGAGCACAGACACGTCCCTGGGGAGTCAGAGCAGATGAGGTGCTGAAGCTGGATGTGTCTTTTATAGGGCCCAGGCTTGGCTCTGAGAAGAGCAGGAGGTGGCTCTTGCACAACCAGGCACGTGCTGGGTCATTCCTGACATTCCCCTGCCTCCTTGTCCCTGCAATCCAAAGAGGCCTCAGGAGATTCCAGGACTCCTTTCTGTTCTGGGGCTGGGGTCTAGAGAGGCTTTAGTCAGTCACAGCCTTTACCAGGCGTGAGACCTAAAGAGTTAACTTAGGGAACCCAAGGCACCCATGCCTGGATGTGGTTCTGTTGGTTGCATCTTTTTTATGCATGTCCTCTGAGGAAACATCAGTTCTGAGCCACAGCTTTCTCTGACCTTGTGGAAATGTTCCATTACAACTCCCTCAACCCTGAGCAGTTTCTCTTCCATGTTCTGCTGTGGATCCAGCCATCCCAGGGGGCTTCTACAGCCTTGTCTCTTTCTAGGCATCCCTCCCTTGCCTAGGCTCTCAGCCCTTCCTCCTGGCCTCTGTGTTTCTGCTTTTCCTCTGACTCACCATGACAAGTCATTCACTGTATTAAATCTGAGTTGATTCTGTAGTCTAGAGCAAGGAGAATGATTGAGAATAAGCAATTCCCTCTAAAATCTAAATGTTTCCTTCATTCGAAGGAATTGTAGTGAATCCATTATTGGAGTCAGGAAACTTGCATATGCTAACTGGGTAGTCTATAGAAGTAGCTAGAACAATTATTAACAATTGCTAGAGTGTCACTACGATGCTCACTGTGAGTATCAGTTCTCATATGTAATGGCTGTTATAAACCAGATATACCTATCTCACTGAGCTGTTTTTAATATTAAGTGAGAAATAAGAAAAAGTTTGGTAGGACACTATGTGCCTGATACGCCCTTAATAAATATGTGTTTCAAAGAAAACTAATGCCATATATTGGGTATTCGTCCAGGTCTTATGTGTCACTAATTGCCCATATAGAGTCCTTACCCTCAGAGAGCTTAATTCAACCAGAGAATTAGATTATTTGAAATCTCTCTTGGAAAGTAGACATCATTTCTTGGGGCTCCTATGGAGAGGGAACTCCTTTCCTACCAGGAAGTAGAGGGTCAGCCAGGGGTCTAGTTATTCAGAGTTCTGATTCTGGATTGCACTAGACAGAGTTACCCATTCATTTATTCATTTATTTTAAATAGACATATTGAGGGTGAACCTTGAAAAAATTACACTAAGTGAAAGAAGCCAGTCACAAAAGACTGCACATTGTATGATGTTATTTACATGAAATGTGTAGAGTAGGCAAATCTGTGGAAATAGAAAGGAGATGAGGCTTTAGCCAGTTACAGCCTCTCCCAGGCTGGCCCCCTGAAGAGCTGACTTAGGGCATCTGAGGAACGAGAGCCTGGACAAGATTCTGTTCCCTGCATCTACTTTTACGTTTATGCCTGTCCTCTAAGAAATATCAACGGCTTCCAGGTGCTTTGGCGGGCTGGGAGAAATTGGGAAATTACTGCCAATGGATACAGATTTTCTTTTTGGAGTAACGAAAATATTCTAAAATTGTGGTGGTGATTGTCCAACTCCACGAATATACTGAAAACCACTGAATTTACACTTTAAACAAATGAATTACATAATATGTGAATTAAGTCTCAATAGAGGTGTTAAAATTAAAATTGAAAACGATAGACATTCACATCTCTGATTAAAACAGAAAAACAGACTGCCTTCACATTGCCTAATGCCTACTTGGTGGGAGAGGGGAGGATGCAGAGAAAGCCCAGTTTCCCATCGTCAGCTTCTAATGGAGGGATTCTATTCTCCCAGTTATCCAATCCTATTATCAGATCTGATTCCTGCTCTCAGACAGCTTTTACCTGAAGGATACAGTAAATCAACAGTGTGACCAGAGCAGTGTATTCAAAAGGCATTCCTTGAAAGCCTACAACATTCTTGGAGCACGTATGTCCAAACACAGGGATATAGAGGTGAATAATAAGTAGCCCATGACCTCAAGGACTGTAGAATTTAGTGGCCTTTTTGAAGATGACTGTAGACAAACATGGATACCAAAGGAGATGATGTCTGGGGACTGAACCTCCTGAGTCACTATTTCCCAGTGTGATTAGAATATGTTAGTTCATTCCACTGTCTTCACGGTGATATCACCCTCAGCTTCCTCATACTCTTTGACAAAAATACTTGTAACAATGTTGTAAGTGAGCAAATAGGGGGGCAAGTCTGTGTGTGTGTGTGTGCACTGTATGTGTGTGTGTGTGTTGTGTTCATATAAAAGTGCAGGTGAAATGAACATGCACATACATGAGCATCTGGATTGAGTGGTTGAGTAAGCAATGGAAGAACTAATGGGATCCAACCCCCTGGGAAACCAGAAATGGGATATAAGCAGCTCTTTAACGTGTCCCCTTTGCCCCTTTATAACTCAGAAAATGTTGAGAATTGGTTCACAAGTCAGTGAAGAAACACCTGCCTGCAAGTACTCTTGCTTCTGTCTCCACAGTTCTCACACCCTCATATGTGATGCCCCTGAGCCAGGAGACCCCGTATCAAGTTGCCCATGTTCCTTCAGGGACCAGCCAACCCATTGCCACATGAATGTTGGCAGGATCAATGCATGATTGCAAGACCTCATGAATGAGCACATAGGTGTCATGAGAAGAAAGTCCTGGGGGTGATTTCAGACATTTCATCTGAAGTTCACCTCATCTAGAAAGTCAGTATCCTGCAGGCTGGTCTTTCCGTGTAGCTCCTTGATTTGTCTCCCTGGGAACTTAAACTCCATATATTCCAGAAAATTATTCCCCAGGAAATGCTGGAACTTTATTTTAGCCACAGTACAAGAAAAAGCCTTACATGTATCTTGATATATCTCACCTTATTTAATAGATTCACTAATCCAAATTTTCCCTTTACTATATCTTTGTAGCCCTTTTGATCTTCTTGTCGATACTGTCTGGCACTGTCTGGTTGGACCTGTTTTCACTCCCGAAAGAGTAAGTGTGGAGATAAGAGTTTATTTAACTATAATTTCCAAAAAGTTAAAAGTATATTTATATATGTTAATATATTACAGACATATCAAAGATTTTTTCACTTGTTAGTAAGGGAACCAGCATGATAGTAATGCTGGTTCAAAGAATTGGAGATAACAAAGTATATACAGTCAGAGGAAAAACTTCTAAAACAAGATTGCAAATTTAGATACATACTGGTTACACTTTTAAAAGGCAATGAAACCATGAGCTTGTAAATCTTCTGTTAAGTACAGTCTAGCTTTACAAAGTCTGGGCCTTAATCAACACCAAATATAGTGAGTAAAATCAACCCACCAATTAAAAAAAAATTCCTAGAGGGTCCCCATAAATCTTAGGCAAGGTTGTTAGTTACCAGGAAGAAGGAAAACTTTAAAAGACTGATCAGAAATCACTTTTTGGCTTAATTTTAAGTTCTGGACAATTTTATTCCCTAATTTTTAACAAGAAATGATTCTACAGGAAAGTGGGGCTTCAGAACCCAGGTCCAGAATGGCTCCTTGCTGAAGTCACATTTGGCTGATAGACATTAGAGGAGCATGAACTCCAGAATTCGTGTGTCATGGTCCTGCTAGAACTGGGACTCATTTCAGATCTTAATATTAGCATAGCTTATAAGAGATGTTCTAATACTGCCCCGCATCTGTTTCGCCATGTCTGGGACCTGCCATTTTCCTTAGCTGGTTGCCCTGGTGAGTTTACCACTGGGTGCCATCGAACTGGCTCTTGACAGACCCATATGGGAGTCTAAAGAGCAACAGCGGGAGTATGGAATATGAGAGGAGAAGAGGGCCCTGCGATAGGGAGCAGGACAGCAGAGGGGTATTCTGGGCAAAGCAAGAATTGGCCCGTCTGGTATTTACATACATATTTATATGACCTAAAGAAGATTGGTTTTATACTTATCTTAATTCATCAATTCCATGATACACTCTTCTTATATTTGTTAACAGCCCTTAAATCAGCATATAACATATGATTGGTGGCATGTAATAGTTGAATTTGCAACATTTTTCTCTTTCTTTATGGTGCATGAAATAAGGGTGCCCCTTACAACTGATAGCCTCTTAAAGCTCATGAAATATAGTAGGTAGGAATGGGGTATGTAGATATGAAATGAAATGATGAAAGACAGAAATTGACATTGATTTAGCATTAGTTCTGTTTTCAGGAATGTTGCTTCTAACACTTTTAATTTGGAGTAATATGTTTCTTCACAGGTACTAAATAGATACTAATGCATTGTATAAACTGTCTGCCAGCACACCATGAACAGGTTTAAAAGGGCAAAACTATTCCCTTCCTGGATCTAATTTATCTGAATTATTATTCAATTCACTTTCAAACTCAGATACTTTGACAAAACATCATCATCAATGCCAACACCTTTGAAGGGCCCTCCACAGTGCCGCTCCAGTGCACAGCCCATGTTCATCTCCAGTTCTTCTTGTGT